TTACCGGGCCGGGACCTGAATACTAAACACAACGTACTACTGCATGTCCAGGGTCAGTCCGGGGTCAGTCGGATCCGGGGTCAGTCCGTGGTCTCAGTCCGGGGTCAGTCTGGGGTCAGTCCGGGGTCAGTCCGAAGTCGGTCCGGGGTCAGTCTGGGGTCGGTCCAGGGGCAGTCCAGTCGGTCCGGGGTCAGACTGGGGTCACTCCGGGTCAGTCCGGGGTAAGCTCGGGGTCAGTCGATCGGGATCAGTCCAACCGGGTCAGTCCGGCCGGGTCAGTCCGGGGTCCGTCCGGGGCCAGTCCGCGGATCAGTCCGGGGTCAGTCCGGGGTCAGTCCGGGGTCAGTCCGGGGTCATTCCGGGGTCAGTCCGGGGTCAGTGCGGGGTCAGTCCGGGGAGTTTGGGGTCAGTCCGGGGTCAGGGTCCGGTCAGTCCGGGGTCAGTCCGGGGTCAGTCCGGGGTCAGTCCGGGGTCAGTCGGGGTCAGTCCGGGGTCAGTCGGGGTCAGTCCGGGGTCAGTCCGGGGTCAGTCCGGGGTCCGGGGCCAGTCCGGGGGTCCGGGGCCAGTCCGGGGTCAGTCCGGGGTCAGTCCGGGGTCAGTCCGGGGTCAGTCCGGGGTCAGTCCGGGGTCAGTCAGTCCGGGGTCAGTCCGGGGTCAGTCCGGGGTCAGTCCGGGGTCAGTCCGGGGTCAGTCCGGGGTCAGTCCGGGGTCAGTCCGGGGTCAGTCCGGGGTCAGTCCGGGGGTCAGTCCGGGGTCAGTGCGGGGTCACTCTGGGGTCAGTCCGGGGTCAGTCCGGGGTCAGTGCAGGGTCAGTGCGTGGTCTGTGCGGGGTCTGTGCGGGGTCAGTCCGGGGTCAGTCCGCGGTCCGGGGTCAGTCCTGGGTCAGTCCCGGGTCAGTCCGGGGGTCAGTCTGGGGTCAGTTCGGGGTCAGTGCGGGGTCAGTCCGGGGTCAGTCCAGGGTCAGTCCGGGGTCAGTCCGGGGTCAGTCCGGGGTCAGTCCGGGGTCGGTGCGGGGTCAGTCCGGGGCCAGCGGGGTCAGTCCGGGGTCAGTCCGGGGTCAGTCCGGGGTCCAGTCCTGTCAGTCCGGGGTCAGTCCGGGGTCAGTCCGGGGTCAGTCCGGGGGGGGTCAGTCCGGGGTCCAGGGTCAGTCCGGGGTCAGTCCGGGGTCAGTCCGGGTTCAGTCCGGGGTCAGTCCAGGGGTCAGTCGGGGTCAGTCCGGGGTCAGTCCGGGGTCAGTCCGGGGTCAGTCCGGGGTCAGTCCGGGGTCAGGGGGTCAGTCCCAGGTCAGTCCAGTCCGGGGTCAGTCCGGGGTCCGGGGTCCGGGGTCAGTCCGGGGTCCGGGGTCAGTCCGGGGTCAGTCCGGGTCAGTCCGGGGTCAGTCCGGGGTCAGTCCGGGGTCAGTCCGGGGGGTCAGTCAGGGGTCAGTCCGGGGTCCGGGGTCAGTCCGGGTCAGTCAGTCCGGGGTCAGTCTGGGGTCAGTCCGGGGTCAGTCCGGGGTCAGTCCGGGGTCAGTCCGGGGCCAGTCCGGGGTCAGTCCGGGGTCAGTGCGGGGTCAGTGCGGGGTCAGTCCGGGGCCGGTCCCGGGCCAGTCCGGAACCAGTCCGGAACCAGTCCGGAACCAGTCCGGAACCAGTCCGGAACCAGTCCGGAACCAGTCCGGAACCAGTCCGGGGTCAGTCCGGGGTCAGTCCGGGGTCAGTCCGGGGTCAGTCCGGGGTCAGTCCGGGGTCAGTCCGGGGCCAGTCCGGGGCCAGTCCGGGGCCAGTCCGGGGCCAGTCCGGGGCCAGTCCGGGGTCAGTCCGGGGCCAGTCCGGGGCCAGTCCGGGGCCAGTCCGGGGTCAGTGCGGGGTCAGTCTGGGGTGAGTCCGGGGTCAGTCCGGGGGTCAGTCTGGGGTCAGTCCGGGGTCAGTCCGGGGTCGGTCCGGGGTCAACCCAGGGTCAGTCTGGGGTCAGTCTGGGATCAGTCCGGGGTCAGTCCGGGGTCAGGGGTCAGTCCGGGAACAGTCTGGGGACAGTCCGGGGCCAGTCGGGGGTCAGACCGGGGCCAGTCTGGGCTCCGTGCGGGGTCCGTCTGGGCCGGGGTCAGTCCGGGGTCCGTCGGGGGGGCGTCGGGGGCCCGGGTTCGTCCGGGGTCAGTCTGGGGTCGGTCCGGGGTCGGATCCGGGGTCTGCCTGAGGTCTGTCCGGGGTCTGTCCAGGGTCAGTCTGGGGCCAGCCTGGGTCAGTCCAGACTGACCGTGGATAGTCCTGGAGCCCGGAGTGACCTGCAGGATTGACCGTGCAGACTGACCCTTGAATGACCTCGTGTATACGGAGCCCGGTCTGACCGAATTCAGCGCAGCCGAGCCGACCGCCACACTGCGAGGTGCACGCGTATGTGGGAACGCCCGACTGGAAAGGAGAGCTGAGAGTATGTTAATGTATGGGAAATAAAAATGCAAGCGGGCCGATCTAGTTTTTGGAATTGCAGGAATCGGGGACCGAAGCTTCCGATCTAGTTTAGCCGAGACTATAGTTTCACCGATTCTATTTTTAACGAGCGGAGTGTAACACCCGAGCCTCAGCATGTTCAGCGGTCGTCTTTGGACGGACAGCTACTGGGAACTAGAGTCGAGCCCATGTGCGCGACGTTGGGGCGAAGTGCACCAGGCGTGCCAGGCGCGCCACGCGCGCCAGGCACCCCTGGGGCCCGAGCGTGCCAGGCACGCCTACTGCGCCAGATGCGCCACGTACCTCCTCGTGTGCCGCATACTCCAGCCGCGCCAGGTGCGCCAGGTTCGGGGCACGCGCAGGGTGTGTCAGGTTCGCCCGCGCACGTGATTGCACACATCGGGAAACATGTCGGCCCCACCATCCTTGTCGAAAACCAGAGCCCATCATTGTGTCTGGTGGGCCTGCGCACAGCAGGCCATACGCCACCACCCCTGGCGTCCCTGTAAACAACTACTTGGCGGCGATCGCGGGTTGGCCGCGCATGATCCAGATTTAGCCGCGAGGTGCATTCTGTATAGTTTTTCGTCAGGGATGGTAGCCCTGCGCGCAGCAGGGTGCGCCGGCGAGTCATTGTGCGATAAATGACGAGGTCGAAGAGGGCCGGCGAATTCAGATGTGAGGATGTCCCGAGCGATTGTCTTGCAGAACTTGTTGAGGATGTCTCGAGCGAAACGCTCGTTTTGTGTTCAAGATTCTCCTCGCCTTGGGACCAGAATTTACAGGATCTCTCAAGTAAAATGCTTGTTTTCAAGTGCCCAGGTCTTGAGGATGTCTCGAGCGAGACGCTTGGTTTCACGCGTCCAGGTTGCCCAGGCAGATGTCTAGCATGAGGATTTGTTGAGGATGGCTCGAGCGAGACGCTTATTTGCGCGTGTCCAGGTTGCCCAGGCGGAGGTTTAGCATGAGGATGTGTCGAGAATGTCTTGAGCGAAACGCTTGTATTCACGTGTCCAGGTCGCCCAGGCACAGCACAGCCCTCGGCACGGTAGGGTACATCGAGATCGATACACTCAGCATTGCAACCTGGCGCGTCCCGTGGCGAGTCCCCCTGGCACGTCGCGCGGCGCGTCCCCTGTCACGTCCAGTGCTACGTCCATTGGCACGTTCCGTAGCGTGTCCCCTTGGCACGTTCCGCGGTGCGTCCCCATGGCGCGTCACTTGGCAAGTCGCCTGGCACGTCCCTTGGGACGTTCCGCGGCGCGTCCTTCTGGCATGTCCCCCTGTCAATTAGCTCTGGGGCAGCTACTATGTGCTCTCAGGCAGCTCGAGCTTAAGATCCAGATCAGTTCGGTCAGGACTCGGATGCAAAGAGGACTCGATCCACAACGCTATACAGTGGGGGCGCTCATCAAGAAACCATCTACTTTTCGTCAGGGGATCCTGGGTTTCTTTGCTCCGCGCGCTGCGCGTTGACTTCCCGCGGCCGTTGAAGGAGCTGCTGCGTTCAGGGTGCTCCAGGCTTCCCCTCAGGTGCACCTCGCGCACGGGTTCTCAGGGTTGGGTTTCTTGCGAGGGTTTCTTGCGGCCGCGCCCGCACTGTAGAGCACACTCGCGGCATGGCACATCCCAATTCAGCACTGCGCAGCACAGCACAGCCTTCGGCACGGTACAAGATCGATACATTCAGCATTGCATTTGCCCGTCGCCCAATCAGGTGTCTTTATAAAGCGTTGCCATGCCTTACATGTCTATATTCCTTTCCGGGTTTGTGGGTCGATCGTGTTCAGTAATACAAAGACAGAGAGACAGAGAGAGAGCTAGAAAGAGAGAGAGAGAGAGAGAGAGTTCCAGGCTCCCACGAGGACTCCCACTGCCAAGACTCATGCCAGCGCCCGTCCGTAGCCATTTATTTCGGCTTAAGTTTCCACGACTGGACGCAGGTCTTGAAGCAGGCGCGAGCGCCCCTCCTGCCTCTGCAAACCAGCCCCCCGCGCCGACACGATGGGCTGCTGCATGGCCTCCCGCCAGGCCCTCGCGCCCGAGGACCAGCAGGCCGGCGGGCCGCCCCCGCACATGCCAGATGTCGCGGAGGTGCCGTGCCCGAGGACCCGCAGGAAAGCAACGCCTTGCCCGAATCTTTGGCGGCGCCCGTCGACCAGCAGCACCCGCAGGAGGTCCCCAAGAAGGAGGAGCAGGAGTCGTTCGGCCTGACTCGGTATACGAACGCCGCGAGCCTCTTCGACGCGCTCGCGTTCACCGTAGAGGGCCTCCACCCCGTGCGCTTGGTCCGCATGTCGTGGCTGCTGCAGCAGCGTGGCACGGTCCTGAATAGGCGCCAGGAGCTGCCGGAGGAGGCGTTCGTGTCCGCGGACGAGTTGCGGGCCGTCTGGGAGGCCGGCGGGCGGAGGAAAAGACCAGGTGGCACCGATCGTCACTATCTCGTTCTGCTGGGACTCACGCGAGCATCCCGACCCCAATGGGGTGCAGCTGAGTTTGGTGATTGACACCCTGGAGAAGGAGCGCCACAAGTACTCCAGAGCACGGCACGCCTTCAAGGGGTTCAGCGAGATGGGAGTCTTCTGGGACTGGCCCTCGCTACTGCAGGGCGACCCGACCAAGGCAGATGAGGCGAAGGCCGCCGCCTTGCGGCAGGGCAAATCCGAGAAGGACGCGCAGGAGGCCGCGGACGAGGCCAAGCGGACCCCCGCCGAGAAAGCCGCCTTCAAGCATGCGCTGGAGGATACAATGGACCTCTGGTACGCCCACCAGGCCACCACCGTTCTCCTGCTCACCCAGCACCCCCGCGAGCGGAGCAGCGCGCGCGAGTGCGGCTACGACCAGGCCAGTCCGGCTGGACGACGTACGAGCGCTGCTCTGCGGAGCAGATCAAGAACGTGTATCGCTGGGTGGCGGGGTGAAACGCCGTGGCCGACCTGGGGCAGGGGGCGGGGGCGCAGGAGGCCGGGAGGAGGTGGCCGGTGGGCCCGGACGAGTTCGACCGGCTCATCGAAGACAGGTCTTTCACCAACGGCGCGGACCGGGAGGTGGTGAAGGCGCTCTTCCGCCAGATGAGCCGCGCGCAACTGGGCGGCGTAACGAGGCTGGACTACGACGGGATTCCGCCCCCGACCCCCGAGCAGGCCGCGGGGCTCGCAAGCTGCTTGCGGCTGTGCGCCCGCTTGGAAATGCTGGACCTGCGAAACAGCATCGGCGACGAGGGCGCGCAGGCCCTGTTTGGGGCGCTGCCCTCCTTGCCCGGCCTGCGGGAGCTGTACCTATCCCGCAACAGCATCGGCGACGAGGGCGCGCGGGCCCTGGCGGGGGCGCTGCCCTCCCTGCCCGGCCTGCAGGATCTCCGCCTGCCCTCCAACAGTTTCGGCGACGAGGGCGCGCAGGCCCTGTTTGGGGCGCTGCCCTCCTTGCCCGGCCTGCGGGAGCTGTACCTATCCCGCAACAGCATCGGCGACGAGGGCGCGTGGGCCCTGGCGGGGGCGCTGCCCTCCCTGCCCAGCCTGCGGGAGCTGGACCTGTTCTGCAACAGCATCGGCGACGAGGGCGCGCGGGCCCTGGTGGGGGCGCTGCCCTCCTTGCCCGGCCTGCGGGAGCTGGACCTGTTCTGCAACAGCATCGGCGACGAGGGCGCGCGGGCCCTGGTGGGGGCGCTGCCCTCCCTGCCCGGCCTGCAGGATCTCCGCCTGTCCTCCAACAGTATCGGCCACGAGGGCGCGCGGGCCCTGGCGAGGGCGCTGCCCTCCCTGCCTGGCCTGCGGGAGCTGCACCTGTCCCGCAACAGCATCGGCGACGAGGGCGCGCGGGCCCTGGCGGGGGCGCTGCCCTCCCTGCCCGGCCTGCAGGATCTCCGCCTGCCCTCCAACAGTTTCGGCGACGAGGGCGCGCGGGCCCTGCCGGGGGCGCTGGCCTCCCTGCCCGGCCTGCGGGAGCGGTACCTGGCCGATGTTGTTGAAGAATTCTTCAACAGCATCGGCGACTAGGGCGCGCGGGCCCTGGGGGGGGCGCTGCCCTCCCTGCCCGGCTTGCGGGTGCTGAACTTGGAGGACAACAGCATCGGCGCCGAGGGCGCGCGGGCCCTGGCGGGGGCGCTGCCCTCCCTGCCCAGCCTGCGGTGCGGATTCGAACACGTGGAGGACTCCGTTCTTTACGCTGACCTCCCCCTCCGCACAGTGGCACAAAGCTTGTTCAGTCGTTCGTTGTGTATATATCACTCACGTCTCTGCCATGCACGGCTCCGTGCGTGTTTACAAGCGTTGTCAGAGTTCCGAAGATTGTTTCACGGAGGTTTTCTGCAGATTCCAATATCTGAGTCCCTCAAAAGTTTGAGGGCCCCGGTCTACAGCTATCCTCCAGACTACATGTATCCCTCCCCCGGACTACAGGCACTCGATTCGGAGGCATGGGGTGCTTGGATAGTTCATGGCGAGCCGCAGCGTTTCCAATGATTGGAACGCGAAGAAGTGCGAGCGCGCCCGGCACGCCTGGCCCTACGGTACACGGGGGGGAGGAGAAGAGATACGACGAGGATGGCCAGGCTGGAGGGGACGTTCATTATTGTTTTTGTTTTAGCGGGTACAAGAGCTTCTTCCGCGTTGGTCGGCCGAATCTCGTTGGCGTCGTCTCTGCCGCCGTCGGCAAGCATACGTGCAAACGCACATTGCAGTGCTTTTTCACGCAACTCGCAACATATGCTCTCTTCTAAGACTTGCTTGTGCTGGCGTGCGGACGCACATGGACGTGCTCTTCACTGCCTGGCGCCCCCACCGCTTCGCTGACAAGAAGAGCTGGAGTATCTGCAAGAACGTCGTCATCGACGTTGACGTCGTCGTCGTCGTCGTCGTTCAGGGTCGGCGGCACTGGCCGTAAGGCCACTCCAATAGACTCAGATGGGCCAGTGGGCTTCCAGGACGGTTCAAAATGGTATCGAAGATGCTTCTTGCGAATCATCGCCGCTCCTTGTCTTGTGGAAAGCGCCTCTGCGGCCAAACATTGGGCCCCAGCTTAGCCAGGATTTCGGACTATATGTTGCCCCAGCAGCTCTAGAAACTCATAGGGGAACACTTGGGGGGAGGGAGAGGTGGAGGATCAGGAGAGGGAGAAGGAGGAAGAGGAAGAGGAGGAGGAGGAGGAGGAGGAGGCCTCTTGGGAACCTCTTGGGGCACTCTTAGGGCCTCCTTGGAGCTTCCTGGGGGCCTCTTGGAGGCCTCTTGGGGGCCTCCTTGGCATCTTGGGAGCCTTGGGGGGCTTCTCGGAGGTGTCTTTGGCCGCCTTGGGGCGTTCCTGGCCCGCCTGACGCCGTCGGAAACCGTTTGGGGGGCCTCTCTGAACCGACTTGGGGCCTGCTTGGGGCGATTCAGGGTCGTCTTGGGGGCTATCTTGGGCGTCTTGGAGCTGTCTTGCGGCCGTCTTGGAGCCGTCTTAGGGGCCTCTTGGGCCGTCATGCGGCCATCTTGGAGGCCTCTTGGACGGTATTGGGGCGATCTTGCGGGCCTCTTGGGCCGTCTTGAGCCGTCGGAATGCCGAAAAAGAGCAAATGCCCAAATCCTTAAAGACCGTCTGACAATTCATGATTTGGGTCTCTTCGGGCCTTCCTGGAGGACCTCTTGGAAGCCCCGTGGGTTTGGGAGGCCTCTTGGGGACCTGTTGGGCCGTGTTGGGCAATTGTGAGGCCAGCTTGGGCTGTCTTGAATGCGTCTTCGCCCATCATGGAGACATCTTGAGCTCTTTTGGTGGCATGTTAGCCGTCTTGGAGCCCATCTTGGCCGTCTTGGAGGCGTCCCGGGACCATCTTAGATGCCATCTTGGGCCATGTGGGCCGTTTTGGAGCCGTTGGGGCCAATGGAGAGCGAAATTCGTGAGTTCTTCGGTTGGCCAGCTGGTTGGGCCGAGGCCATAGTACGAGTTCCAAACGAAACGAAAAACATTAGACATGTAGCACGCCAGGCACCCCTGTTGCAAGCCACAATAAAGAGGAAGGCCAACCAAAGAGAGCCGTATAATATCGAAGACACCTACGGCGGATCACAGCCGCTTCCTGCCCCTTTGGAAGCGCCTATGTGGCCGACAGCTGGGCTAGAGCTTGGCCAAGCTATCGGGCCAGTTGTTCCCCGAGTCCGTTTGGAAAGCCTTCGGGGAACGCTTAGGGGGAGCAATAGGAGGAGGATCAGGAGAGGGCAGATGATGATGATTAGAAGGAGGATGAGAATGAGAATGAGGATGATGGGGAAGGAGGAGGAGTAGGATGAGGAGACTTCTTGGGAACCGTTTTGCGAGACCTCTTGGGCCGTCATGCGGCCATCTTGGGGCCCCTTGGACGATCTTGGGGCGATCTTGGGGGCCTCTTGGGTCGTCTTGAGCCGTCGGAATGCCGAACAAGAGCAAATGCCCAAATCTTTCAACACCCTTAGGAAAATCAGTGATTTTGGTCTCTCCAGGTCCTCGTGAAGGAACTCTTGGAGGCCTTTTGAGCTGTCTTGGAGGCCTCTTGGGGGCCTCTTGGGCCGTCTTGGGCCATCTTGAGGCCATCTTAGGCCGTTTCGAGTGCATCTTGGGCCGTCTTGGAGGCATCTTGGGGCCATCTTAGCCGTCTTGGAGGCCATCTTGGCCGTCTCGGAGGCCTCGTGGGGCCCTATTGGGGCCGTCTCGGGGGCCGCTTGGGCCGTCATGCGGCCGTCTTGGAGGCCTCTTGGGCGATCTTGGATTGCCGTCGGAATGCAGAAAAAGAGCAAATCCCCAAACGCTTTCAACAACCTTAGGAAAATCAGTGATTTGGGTCTCTCCGGGTCCTCCTGGAGGACCTCTTGGAGGCCTCTTGGGCCGCCTTGGAGGCCTTTTGGGGGCCTCTTGGGCCGTCCTGGGCCATCTTGGACCATTAGGCCGTTTTGAGTGCATCTTGGGCCATCTTGGATGAATTTCTGGGCCATCTTAACCGTTTTGGAGGCCATCTTGGCCGTCTTGGAGGCCTCTTGGGACCCTCTTGGGGCCGTCTTGGGGGCCTCTTGGGCCGTCATGCGGCCATCTTGGGGGCCTCGTGGGTGATCTTGGAGCGATCTTCGGGGCCTCTTGGGCCGTCTTGAGCAGTCGGAATGCCGAGAATAAGCAAATGCCAAAATCCTTCAACCGAAGGGAAATCAATGAAGTCGGCCTTTTCGGGCCCTCCTGGAAGACCTCTTGGAGGCCTCTTGGGTCGTCTTGGACTGTCTTGGAGGCTTCTTGGGCGTACTGAAGGTATCTTGGGCCGTCTTGGAAGCCATCTTGCACCATCTTAGGCGGACTGGGAAGCCATCTTGGGCCATCTCGCCTGTGTTGGAGGCATCTTGGAGTCCATTTGGGGCTGTCTTGGGCATGAAAGTCATTGACATGTCCAGTTTGGGGTCTCTTCGGTTGGCCGGCGGGACGGGCCGAATCCCCAGAGTGTTTTTCTGAAAGAACCAAAATCGAAAGGGTCTAGCACGCCGGGCACACCTGCGGCAAGCCAACAAGGGGCGGCGGATATCGAATGGCCTTCGGCCAATTTCGCCACCGTGCTTGGGTTCGCCCGATGGACTTCGGAGACCTCTGGATGGGCCCCACAACGACCGGAACTGCCTCACGAGGAGCCCCAGCCGGTTTCAGGACGGCTTCAAGAGCGCTGAAGAGCTTCCCAAGACAGATCCACAACGGCCCCGAATGGCCGCAAGACGGCTCCAGGGGCCGTCAAGACGGTTCAAGATGCTCCCAAGGGGCCCCAGACCATCAACACGAAGTCATTTTTTCCATGTCGACACGGTTTTTCCATGCCGACACGCTCCGGAGGCTTCTCGATGGCCCCCAAAACACCTAGAACGGCCCCAAGATGTGTCCCAGAGGTCTCCAGGACGGCTCCAAGAACGCCTAAGAGCCTCCAGGTCGGCTGCAAGAATGCTCATTTGCCTCTAAAGACCCCCCCAAGATGGCCCCGGATGGACTCCAGACGGCTCTCGAGGCTGCCCAGATGGTCCAATATCCCCAAGACGGACCCCAGTCACCCCAAGACGCTTCCACGACGGCCCCCAGAGGCTCCCAGAGGCCTCCAGGAACAGGATGAAGACGCTCCCAAGAGGGCCCCGAGTCGCCAAATTACTCAAAATCTGTCCACAAGCAGTACGTCTGTTCGTAGCACCTGGTCTTTTCACTGCCGATGGGCCTCCGAGACTTCTGGAAGGCGTCAAAACGCCCTACAGAGCCACCTCAGAGACCCCCAGGACAGCTCCAAGAGCGCTCGGAGGCCTCCCGAGAGCAGCCCGAGACCGCCCCAGCTGGTCTGAAGATTGGCTTCGGGACTTGAAGATTGCCCCAGAGGGCTTCAAGACGGCTCAAGAGGTGCCCAATGGGACCCCAAAGGAGCCCCAACAGTGGAGGGTCCTAGGAGAGAGAGAGAGAGAGAGAGAGAGAGAAAGAGAGAGGGACAGAGAGAGAGAGGGAGAGAAAGAGAGAGAGAGAGAAAACTCGAATTGAGATTTCGAGTCATCCGCCCCAAGGAGACCCCTGAGATCGCCTTCAGGCTCCACGAGGCCCAAAAGAGGCCCCCAAACGATCCCCATGACGTCGGGGGTGGACAGAACCCCCACCCTGACACGTCGATTAGTGATTTGTCCATTTTCGGTTCTCGAGGTGGCGCCGCGGCCATCATTTTCCAGGCTTGCGCCCGCCAGGTGTTGGCCCGAGGTCGTTTTCACTAAACTACGTTTTGCTAAAGGGGGTTCTGCCCATCCCCGATTATGCTTCAAAACTGCCTTCAGCAGGCTCTCCAGTGGCTTTCCAAGAAACCCCAACAGGCATCCAAGAGACCTTAGCATCACAACCCAAGCGCGGTGGCGGAATGGGCGGGATGCCAACAGGCCAGTATCGCGCTCTATGTGGACTCTCGAGTCTGGCGCCACGCGTTTCGGTGGTTCGATGCCCAGAGGCCCTTCCTCGGCGCATGAGTCTGTGTAGAGTGTTTCAAAGAGGTTTTCGTTTTCGAGGAATTCAGAAGTCGTCTTCTCGCCCACCGCGGAGACCGGCCGAAGGCCCACGGAAGCTGGCGGATGTAAATCGAGGGCGATCTGGTTGGCGGAAGCCAGCAGAGATTCGTCTGAAGCCCGCGGAAGGAAATTGGCTTTGTAAGAGGTCTACCTTGGCCACCGTGCCGTC